TACTTTAGAAGTTGATCTAGTATCAAAAACGTTCGATTCAGCACCCCACACAGTCCTCAGAAAAAAACAACACAAAAGTGCCAGTGCTGCCAGCTAAAACACACACACCAACAAAAAAAATATTGGAGTAGCCCAAGATATAGCCAAAGATTGCAGCGCCACAGCACTAGCGAAAATTTAATTTGCCAACTGGAATGCTTTCGGTTAACCGACGTTTCGGATAAACAACGCTCTACTGTAGTAATAAAATTTATGTTTTAGTTAAGAATTAATAGAAATTCAGAAAAAATTTCAACACATTGAAATCTGCATTTTTAAAAATAATTACTCAAAAGTTATATTATAAATTTGATTTTATGCTTTACAACTGTTTTATTGAGCAATGGCAAAATTTTCCTTATTTTGTAGGTTAAAAATTCATTAGTTTCATCAAATATAAATTCAATATAAGTGAATCTTACAGGAAAGTTTTTAATGAAAATAATACTAAATTTATATCTGATCAAAATCAGTGTGCTTAAAAGCTAATTAAAATTCTTTAAGAACATTTTCTTTTAAGAATATGAAAGATTATTTCTTTCATATTTAATCTTTCAGTTTGTAGTTACAATTTTATACATAAAATTTAAATACAGTGATGGCCAAAAGTTTAGCAACACCTGTTTTTTGTTAAAAAAAAAAACAAACTTAATGTTTTTCTAAACATTTCAGAACTGAAAACTTAAGAATTTTGGTTATCAAATAAAGTATTAATCACTGAGCAATCTTTGTGAATGTCCTGTAAACTTTATGCCACAATGTTCAATGGGAATGGCTTTTCATGCTTCTTTTATTATTTCAAATAATTTTGTTTGATTTGCTGCTTTGGTTGTCATTACAACTATTTCCAAACCCTTCTAAAGCATTTTGATGGGATTTAGATCAGGAGTCTGTGGTTTTGCCAGGGCCTGCACAATTTCACAGTTCTGCTTGTGTGTTTTGAGTCATCATGAAAACTTTCCTTCAGCAAATGACAACAATCTTTTCTAATCTTTCTTTTGTGTACATGTTGATCCATGTGGCCTTTTAATATGATGGATTGGGCCTGTTTCATGTCTATTAAAACATCCCAAACCATCACAGACTCACCACCTCTTTCACTATTGGTTGAATTTTGGGTCAAATTCTTCACCAATTCTTCATTTCATATACATTAGAACACAAGTTTATGTTTTTGTTGAAAGCACAGATGTTGCCAAACTTTTGGCCAAAGGTATTAATGTTAATTCACACATAAAATTCTTTATATTTGTTTGATGTTTATTTTCATTCATACAATGGATAGTAAACAATGTAATGATACTAATGCAAATTTTGTTAAATTAATAAATATTAATCTGTTGCTAAATTTTGGTCACCACAGTTGTTATATTAATACTCCTCAAAAGTGAAATTGCAACACCATGAAGGAATTTTTGTAGCCTGCACATTGCAGGACTGGTAGAGGTGACAGAGATAAGCAAGAGATACTTTTTATTCAGTAACAAATATGGCTGCCATGGGCAGCTCTATAGAACACTATATGGCGAGGCATACTATCAATAAGGTGATTTATGGTTGTCTGAGTCCCTTGTCAAGCTGTGTCGTGCATGTCATCCACAGTATGTGGTGGTGTTCCCTGGTGCACCTCAAGTCAGACAAGGTCCCACAAGTGTTTGATGGGAGAGAGACCTGGCAAGGCTACCAGCCAGAATTCTGTTCAGACTGGTGAAAGTTCACCATGCAATGTGCAGCCTGCACCAGTGGCCAAACCACAGGCCACATAATTTGTGTGACATACTGGTCTACTGTCAGAGTACCAGAAATGTGTGCCAGGGCTATCCACTGATCGAACATGATGCCTCTCCAAACCACGATGCCACAGCAAAAAGGACTGGCACATAGCATTTCCTGAGATACTGCCACACCTGTCATTCCTCCACAGACAGAAGTGGGATTCATCCATAAACAATATGCATACAATATGTGCATAAAACACTGAAGGTGAGTTGGGAAGGTGATGTGACCAAGGTGGCGGTCAGTGGAAGCAACAGTTACGGCTCACATAGTGAGACAGAAAAGTCTGAATTTGGCCTTGATCTGGTTTTTAAAGAATTCTTCCCTGATTGGTCGGTTTCTTGTTTCTGGATAGATAACAGACCATTTCAGACCATAAAAGGTCAAATTCAATACTGTGTCTTTGATCAAGGGAAGTTAATTGAACTTTGAAACTCCTGCTCATATTTATTTATTGTTTATGACNCTAAATTTTGGTCACCACTGTTGTTATATTAATACTCCTCAAAAGTGAAATTGCAACACCATGAAGGAATTTTTGTAGCCTGCACATTGCAGGACCGGTAGAGGTGATAGAGATAAGCAAGAGATACTTTTTATTCAATAACAAATATGGCTGCCATGGGCAGCTCTATAGAACACTATATGGCGAGGCATACTATCAATAAGGTGATTTATGGTTGTCTGAGGTATCCCTTGTCAAGCTGTGTCCACTGTGGTGTGCATGTCATCTACAATATGTGGTGGTGTTCCCTGGTGCATCTTAAGTCAGACAAGGTCCCACAAGTGTTTGATGGGAGAGAGATCTGGCAAGGCGACCAGCCAGAATTCTGTTTAGGCTGGTGAAAGTTCACCGTGCAATGTGCAGCCTGCACCAGTGGCCAAACCACAGGCCACATAATTTGTGTGACGTACTTTGTCAGAATTTGTGTCAGAGTACCAGAAATGTGTGCCAGGGCTGTCCACTGATTGAACATGATGCCTCTCCAAACCATGATGCCACAGCAAAAAGGACTGGCACATAGCATTTCCTGAGATACTGCCACACCTGTCATTCCTCCACAGACAGAAGTGGGATTCATACATAAACAATACCTAATGCCATTCAGTTGTCCAGTTGGGATGATGACAACAACAGACCAGGTGTGCAGCCATGTCAAATGGTTAAATGGAAAAAAAATTGAATTAGACTCGAAAAATTAAAAAATTTTTTGTAAATAGTCATATCTTTCATCCTTTTAACACACTACAGAAGTAACAGTATATTGGCTTGGATGAACTTCCACAGAACACGTGATAAATTATAACGAAAAACACACAAAGTTAAAAATGGCACGTGGTTGTTGTTTGTGCAGCCAGACTTCATGCAATCTGTTGTGAATGGTTTGAGTAGACATAGATACACTCATTGATGGCAACAGGCAGTTTCATATGTCATTTGCCATGGCAAACAGATCCCAATGGGACATTTGGCAAATCTGCCTCTCTATGTACTCTGTTGTGTGCCAATCAATCCACTTCCTTTGTTGCGTTCTTACATCCATTATGCCACATATTGCTGGATGGTACTCACATTGTGCCAAACACGCATGGCAACTGCATGCATCAACAAACCAAGGTCATGCAGCTCCAGGACATAGTCTCTTTTCCCAGCCGTTAACTGGTGGTATTCAGCTCACGGTTGTCTCCAAGGTTTGCGGGAGCTGAACTTTTGAAGAAGCATAGAAAATCTGTGCTTCAAAAGTTCAGCTGCACAAGCTATCAATAGCATTTACATCCCAAGCTGGCTGCTGGTCTTTAAAGCCCAAAACTGGGTACCACATGACTTGATGCATATGCAAACTTAATCATTTGCATATATCAACCACACAAAGGTGACAATGTGCATTCTTTCATGGTGTTGTGATTTCATTTTTGAGGAGTGTTTATTAATTACTGAAATTTGTCTTATGTGAAGTCACCAAATTGGGGATAAACAAATGTCAGGATTTATTGGATGTGGGGCAGACACCTGCAGTTAAATTAATAAACAAGTTTATTCATAAGTCTTGCATCTAATGGAGCGACTTGTCGGCAATTGGTGCTGGTCTCTTGGAGAGTTGATAGACATCTCCTCGACCAACTGCCTGGGGCTGTCAATAAGTCCCGGGACAAAAGTGATGATGGGAAAACAGTCCGACGTGGAATGGTGAGGATAGGGGTGAAAGTCCATATGCATAAAACACTGAAGGTGAGTTGGGAAGGTGATGTGACCAAGGTGGCAATCAGTGGAAGTAACAGTTACGGCTCACACAGTGAGACAGAAAAGTCTGACTTTGACCTTGATCGGGTTTTTAAAGAATTCTTCCCTGATTGATCAGTTTCTTGTTTCCGGGTAAATAAGACCATTTCAGACCATAAAAGGTCAAATTCAATACTGTGTCTTTGATCAAGGGAAGTTAATTGAACTTTGAAACTCCTGCTCATATTTACTTATTGTTTATGACTGACCGAATTCTTGTAAGTCAAACAATCTCCATGCTAGATCTCCTTTTTTAAAGTTTATGTTTTTTGTTCTCTCAACTAAAATTTTTATTCTTACACATTTTTATTTGTTTTTCTTTCAGTTTTTAAGAGTGCTAGAATAAAAGCTGGATTCCCTGATTTGACACTTTTATTAAATTTTTAACATGTGAAATTGAGTATTGCTCAGGCCTCACACTTATATATTTATTATGACAAAAGTGTTTTTTTAATCATCATTTATGAAATGTTTTGGTGAAGTTGATTATAATGGTAATAATTTACTAAATATAATTATAAAATGTATTTGTTTTTCACAAATGAAAAACAAATACATTTTATAGAGATTTCTTTGATTTCTTCAAAGAATCAAAGAGAATATAGTTCTAATTAATGAATAATGAAGAAAAAATATATTTACATGATTTTTATAACAGCAGTTATCATCATTGATTATTATTAAGTATTTATTATGTACTCATTTTATTGTACATTTCTGAAAACATATCATGCAAATTTGGAGTGTTTTAAGGTATATAAAAAAATAATTATTTTTTCCGCAAAGAATTTTTAATTCTAAAAACTCATTTTGTGCAACTCGAACACCAACTATATAGTGTATTTACTCGGACACAAGGCAAATCTCATCATTAATTTTTATTTAGTTGATACGTGTACTTAATGTCTGTACATGTTTTGGGCTATTCATGCCCTCCTCAGTCAACTTCAAATCACAGATCTTTGTAAACTTAAAACCGTTTTAAAAACACTTCTATACATTCAACCCTCACCTTTAATTAATCAATTTGTTATCTTTTACATTACTTGACTGAATCTCTACATATGATAAATCAATGAAGCACCTATCTTGTCCTTCTGAACAATTTTAAAATGGTGCCGATCATCGTCTACGATATTTAAACACTTACTCAAAGATAAAATGATAGAATTTTGACAGAAATTTAATAAACAAACACGTTCTAATGTCAAGAGATACACTATATAGTTTGTGTTTGAATTGCAAATTGCACAACAATTACCAGCATGGTTTCATAAGTACTAAAACTGTCATTTTATCATATGATGCATGAATGATATTAAGAACTAAGGAAATATTTATATTACAACTTTTACACTTTCATCCCATCTTGGTTCAAAAAATAAGTTAAATTCCAATTAATGTTCACAATGTATTGAAAATATTAACAAAACTATTTCAGTAAAAGTATGGTCATGTGGACTTAGAAATTTTAGCTATACTGTAATTTCTTTTGCAATTTGAATTCATATTTAATAATATACTATTATAATAATGAAAACAAAATTTTTAATTTTTAGCCCGCAAATATCCATTCTATGCAGTAGCCTGGCATCCTGAAAAAAACCAATACGAATTTGTTTACAATGCCAAACACCAAAATATTCCACACAGTTATGAAGCTATATTAATTTCACAATATTTTGCAAATTTTTTTGTAAATGAAAGTAAGTATATTTATTAAAAAACCTATTTAACAATTGATTTGCGTAAGAAAGTAGCAAATTAAGTAAAGCTTTGAAATGTAAAATGGAAATTATTTCTTGTAAAAACAATTTTTTTAGTTTAATCAATCATAGATTTTTTTAAAGAACCTTTGTTTTGAATTGTTTACATTTAAGTTAAAAAAATTAGATGATAATACTTCAAAGTTAAAATAATTTTTTCATAAAATCTGATTGTATTGAAGTATTTAACATGACATTTGCTGAGCCAGATGCACTGGGCTACATCATTGTAATTTATATAGACTAACATTTTAATGAATAGAACTCTCATTCCAATTAAGTCATGCACTTTAAGGCATTCTCAATTACTTCACTTCCAAACCTCATAAATGCAAATATCTATTTGTTTTAAGATCTTTCACATTCCTCAATTACTCATAATGCATTAGATAAATGTTCTAAGCCTTCTTGAATGAAAATCTGTACATTCTTTAATACGTGTAGATATTTTCATTTAAAATGATTGAATTGGATTCGCTCCTTCCTGTTCTTCCCTTTCTGTTGTTACGTCAATGTTGTCATCTTATTCCATTGTCAATTCTTGCTCAAACTATCTAAGAATTGTATTTTGTAATCTTCTGTCTCTTCTAGAATATATTGAAGTTACTGCTGGGTTGAAAGATCAGTCTTCTCCTAAATCCAGTTTTTTCAAAGCATTTTGAAACTGAAGATTTTTCTTCTAGTTTGATAATGCTAACAGGTTTTCAATGCCACCCAATAATGAAAAAATTTTACATGTCCTGAATGTTCCAGATGTCGTACTTAGCAAGTAATGCCTGAATCATCAATTGTCAATAATGGACTTATCATATCAGATCAAGGGATCATATACAATGTTAAAGAACTGTAAAATTGAGGTAATGTTACTTGGAAAAAAACACCTAATTTAACATTTGTAAGTGTGATTTGAGGATAACATTCAGCATTCTCCAGAAATAAAAGAACATTATTTTCATAGGAAAAAAATAATCATAATAATGAACTGACTTCTATCATTCAGGCATTTGCCTTAAATTCCCATCACTGGCAACTTTTTATTAATTTTTCCAGAACACTTAGGAAATTCAAAATTTCCTATGATTAATGGTTTTTAAATTCACTTTTCATGTTGCAACATAAAAAATAATTCAGGAGGAAAAATATCCAAAGACTGACACTTCTTTTTCTCTCTTGACATCACATCAACCAAGCAAGTCCCTTATGTTATCTCCTGGACCACTGTTTGAAGCTAGCCACTATGGGACAGTGGCATTGACTTGTCCTTGAGACAGGTGGGGAGACTCTGGCAGTTGGTGTGGGCAATACGATCTAAGTCCATAGGGCTGGTCATTGATGGGCACAAGTGGTGGAAAACTATGCCTTGATCTTGACCTTGGATTCTGAGGTTTTGTGTTTTCCACTCTCCATCTGCCTTTTTGATTGGCCATTCATCCCTTTTCTCACTTCCCGATTGGTCACACTCTTGTCTCCAGGTGAAAACTGAGACCAGTTCAGGTCACAAGAAAGGTCTGCTTTGGAGAGTCTATCCATTGATTCTGACTGGGAGGTGTTGATGAAACTATGAAACCTGCGCTTGTATTTTACTTCATTATTGTCTCTTCTCCAACATTTTAGAATTTGAACAATCTAGCATGATGTCTCCTCAACCATTTCCCTTTTTCTTGATATTCTAAACCCAGATCACTTGTATATGAGTGCCCTGTCAGTCCCCTCTCTCCTGGTTGACAGTTGATACTCCCCTACAATCTGCTATGTTGTTCATCTTCACAACATCTGTTTTGACATTTAATTTTGCTTCCAGTCTCTGTCTTACATCTCTAGCACAACCCTTGGTCAGATTCAACAACTGAAATTTTCCAGTCTTAAGAAATTTTATTATTAATTTTTTGACTTGTTTCTGGAGCCTCATAGGGCTCTCCGCCCTTTTAAAATGTTGCTTTGAGGTTAATGACATTTTACCTGGCAGCTCAAGCCGTCAGTTCTCCTTTGCCTTTGCAGAGATGGCGGTCTCACTCACTTACTTGTCGACAGGATCATGCTGACTGCCCAACTCACATTTATATTCATGTTCGTAACAGATCGGTTTACGCATTGATTGTCAAATTAAACAGATTTATTAAATCTTTTGATGTAATATAATGTTTTAGGTAATTATCTATCTATACAGATAGATATAGCATATTAATGGCACAAAATGAAAATTCCAAATGGGAAACAACACGCGACAAAAATTTATATACAGTAATACCCCAACTTACATGGTTATCGCTCAGTCCCACCTATTGCATGAGTCAGGGTATAATTTCGCATATAAATACATACAAATTATTTTTAATTGGGGCCGGAGACTAAAGAAAACAATAATTTAGAAAAAAATGTTTCCGAAAGTCTTTAACAGAGAGCTCATTGTTTTGTCTCATAGCTTAATGCAGATGTGCAAACGATCGTCTCGTGTAATGAGCATTGAATGTTTTGATGACTCCCTGATCCATTGGTTGAAACAAGCTGGTTGTATTTGGTGGTACAGTAGAACCTCGAAAACTCGGCCTAATGTGGACCGAAGGGTGGCCGAGTTTGTGAAAATGCCGGGTTATCGGGAATGGGGTTAAAAAAGGATAAGTATGCGTGTTTCCTCAGAAAATACTGTACTGTACTTGTATGTATTGTTTGCTTGAGAATACAACAGAGAATAAACTGCCCAAATACCCTTAAACAAAGGAAAAGTACGTACTTTATGAAGGCATAGAGCCTTTACTACATGAAAATGAAAATTAATGAAAACACTGTGTACAGTAATTTACCTGATAAGACAGACCTCAGAAAAATACTTTATGAGAGCTTTTATACTTTTATAAAGCTGTCTATAATGAAAATTAATTAACTAAGGATTTTTTTGCCCTGCCAGGGTGTGGCCGAGTTATCCGGAGTGCCGGGTTATCGAGAGCCGAGTTTTCGAGGTTCTACTGTAAAAATACAACTTTCACACGTGGGTCAAAATTAGTTAAAGTTGCAGGGGATGACCTGGTGCATTGTCGATTATTAGCATCACTTTAAATGGAATTTGTTTAGATTGGCAATAATGTTCGACTTCAGGTATGAAGTGATGACCAAACCAGTCCTCAGAAAGGGAAGCTGTCACCCAAGCTTTACGATTCGACTTCCAAATCACAGGCAAGCCAGCTTTAGATTTTTTTCAATGCTCTTGGATTTTCCGAGCGATAAACTGAGAGAGGTTTTAACTGACAATCACCAGCTGCATTTGCACCACCCAATACTGTCAATTGATCTTTGGTGGCCTTGAAACCTGGAAAGGTTTTCTCTTCACACGTGATAAATGTTCTTTTAGGTATCTTTTTCCAGAACAGGACAGTCTCATTATGTTGAATAGCCACCTTCATCTATCATAGCTTTGAATTTCTCTGGATAGTAAGACGCAGCCTCTTTATCAGCACTTGCCAATTACAGCAACTTTTGAATTGACTGAACCAACCATTACTAGCTTTAAACTCTTCATATTTAGCCACCTCTCCAGCATCCTCTTTCAATCTCTTAAAAACCAGCTTAGCTTGAGAGCACACTGTGTTCTGATCAACAGGACAATTTTTCCCATTTACTTGATTATCACACCATAATTTTAACATTGTTTCCATCTCAGCGATAATATCGTGAAGTTTACAAATGATGCTTAAATTTAAAGATTGAGCATTTTTCGCAGCTTCGAGAATTTTTTTCTTTTACCTTTTATAATTGTTCTGACCATCAATTCTGGTAGATCAAACTTCTTTGCCAATTCACAAATTTTCATTTTTGTATCGAAGTTATCTTTGGAATGTAAAGTTAACATTATTAAAGTTTTTTTCTTGTTTGATGCAGAAGAATCAGTTCTACTTTGTTTGGATGACATAGTAGAGTCTCAAGTTTCCATAGATATAACAAATACAGAATAACACAAAATAAATTATAGCTATGCGTCGATTCCGCGCGACACATATGAATATGTAAGCTGAACTCTGAACAATAGTGTGGGGGGGAGTGAGTAATCAAGAGTAAACAAAAGAGGAATCGACGAGATTTGAAAATCGCATAACGTTGGGGTAGCATAAGTTGAGGTATTACTGTACATAATACTACGATGGTTTCGGGAAAGAAGACTTGGGAGTGCCCTTCTGACAGGATCGTTATTGGCACAGTTGATTCCTGTTCCTTTCTCTTCTTAGTGTTGGCAGTTTCTACCTCTTGCCCTACCCACCACTCGGTACCTCTGTTCTTGATCTTGTAAATAATGTTGCGATGCCTTCCACAGTTCTCTGCCTCGTCCCACTTCTTGTTGGGACCAAGGGAGAAAAGGTCCTCAGACCGCTGATCTTGGAGGTTGAGATCTCACAACATCTCTGGGATCCTGCCCAGGTCGGGACAAATCTCTAGCTTCCTGAAGTTGTTTGGCCCTCTCAACGCAAAGGCCACTGCTTCATCAACGTCCTGCTGCATGTTAGGTGCCACTTCCACCTTCTGGGGCAGGACGAGCATTTCGGGGTATACCAAGTCAGAGACCCTAAAATCTGCCAAATGGCATGTTAGACTGAGGTAGGGTCTACTGGAGGCATCTCTTCCCTCATCTGCTGGGAAAAAGAGAACCTGGTTGAAGACCCACAGTGCCAAAGCCTCTGGCATTTCTTTGAGCTCCCACAGTTCCAGTGATTCTGCCCACGGCCTTGTCTGTCAAAACACAAAGAGAAACAGGTTTGGTGTCCAAAGTGCATACATGTCTTTAAATCTTTGTCTTCTCTGAAAAAGACAGACACAATTTCCATCTCGGGTTTAGACACCTTGGCAGCATTTTGATTTCTCGCTGGCACTATGGTCAAGATCTGGTCTTTGAGCATATGTTCTATCATTGTTTAAGGTCATGCAATCTCTCATTCTGATTGTGTTTCAGGTCACCGGTTACGCTCTGGAGAATGGATTCCCAGATTAATTTGCCTCTCCCGCAAACTTTGATTCTCCCTCAGAAGTGGCCTGATTCTCTGCGGCTTCCTATGTTTTGGATAATGATGTATAGAGGGGAATTTTCGTCAATGCTTTCTGTTTTAATAATTTAGGTTACCCACATTATCAATGGGATTTTACCTGTCTCCACTGCTATCAATTCAATCAGCTCGCTAAGAGTCTTTTAAATTCGCAAGTTTTTGAAAAGTTGCAGCCCAATTACATATTAAGCAGCTTAAAAAGCAAAATCTTGTTTACATGGATGACATTATGATGATTAATTGCAATTTTAATTTTCACTTAGAGCAATTAGAATAGTCTTTCAGCACCTGGCAACAGTAGGATTAAAATTAAAAAAGAAAAAAAAAAATGTCAAACTATCCACCAGAGAAGAGGAAGCTAAGTTCTGACTTTAGGGGAAACATTTTTAGGGAATAAATTCTCTTGCCTTCCATCAAGCTTGATGTAAAGCTTTCTTGCTTTCCCCAAAGATCATACACTAACAAATACAAGATTCACACTTTTACTTAGAGTTATCTTAACCTCTGGTTTGTTTTAAAATAAACAAGGCAGCACTTGTGTATTTGATGCAATTTGCCTCTGATTATTGTGTTTCACACACACTATCCTTGGGACTGCAAAATTCATACATAATGTAAAGGTGCACAAATACATCTAACACAAGCTGACAGTGTTCCACATGTAATAACCAATCCAGGTCTGAGCAGTCATTATACATTCAGATTTGTTTCTGGCACACTGATGCTCAAGTTGGCATGGGTTATTATTCATTGATTGCCAAGAAATTGAATAGGGACATGTTTTTGAGTGAAAGAGAAAAAATGGGCAGGGGCATTCAAAAATTTTGAAGTCTCAAAATAAGGGACACACTAATGTAAAGACAAAGAAAAAAAGGAAACCCAGTTATGTCAAGCCTTAAAGTGGAATTAAATGTTTCTGCAAAAATGTCAAAAATTATCATCCACTATTGGTTAATTATAATAAAGGGATGATTAATATGTTATGGTACTTGTTATAATCAGCAAAAAGTATGTGATGAACTCTACAATGTAAAAAGACAGTTTATCAAGTAGTTTAGTGATAAGACTAATATTTAATTAACTGTGAAATTTGAATATATTTAGTAACCAAATACCAATAGAATTCTGGCAAAATATCAAATTTGTGAACTTTCTAGTTACTGTATATTGAAGTAAATCTTATTGCTGTTGTGAATACGGGGTCGTAAGGCTCCCGCTCTATAGTCAGGATAAAATGTCAACCGAGTGTAAAGAGAGGTGATTGGGGTCGACGATAAGGTGAAGGGCGAAATCGAGTAAAGGAGTCTACCATTTTCTTTAACAAATATAAAACAATTTATTAAAACAAGCGAATTAATCAAAGACTACACAAATTCTCATATAGCATTCCTAAACCGCCTTATATTCTCGAGAGAGAGTTTACCGCGCTCATACCTCTTTATGGCGTTCCTTTATCGGTTTAATCCGGGGAGGCGCTTAAATGTTCAAATCTATTATCCACAGGAGCACAAATTTTAAAAAGGTTCGCGACTTTTTTGAAGATTTAATTCGAGGTTCATCGGAGATCGGAATTTCACAAGTTCGGAAGAACGGCACGATGTTGTTAATCCTGCGCTCGTTCGTAGACTCCCCGAGAGGGGGTAAGAACGGTCTTTTATCCGTTTTAGTGGGGAATTTCCACCACGTAATCGGATGTTCATAGGTTAGGGGTTATAGGTGTTCCAGGGATCCAAAACAAATGACAACATTTAGATGCTAACTATCAACCTTCTTGCAAGATGAGATGCAAGTTCTGCAAAGAACAATAGATGTTGCTAGTTATGACCGGAAAGTTTACACAATCCCGGGCAAGATCGTTTTTTCTACTAGGGCATTCCATAAACTAAAGTTTTGATAAATTAACAATTTTGTTAATAAAAGAGCGATATTTCCGTCACCAAAATTCCGGATCTCACACTGTAAAAGATTAAACTCATTAAAAAGCAAAAATGAATTAACAGAATATTTTCAATGGCTGGCCAAATAATGACTTTATGACAAATAATGGTTTTATTTTTCTGTAGTTTTGGACTGTTTCATAAATGTTGCTTGAATCAACAGAAATTTATTTTAATTTCTAGTAACTATTGTTTTGCTTTAAGGTCCTAAAAACATATTTTCTTTAATTTTATAGCAAGGAAGAATTTCCATCAATTTTCTTCTGTAAAACAAGAGCAAGAAGCACTAATTTACAAATATAATCCAGTTTATACAGGACTTCACGGTTCTAGTTATGAGCAGAAATATTTTTTTAATGCAACAGATTAAAAACTAAAATTATAATAATTATTCTGATAACTTCTGTAATTTTTTAGAAAATTATTTATAACAAATATTAAATTTTGTAAAAAAATATTTTGTAAAATTTAATTTTGAATTTATAAAGAAAAATATATATGCATATGTATTGATATTTGTAAATCTATATACATATATATAAATAAAGGATGTTTGTTTTGCTATGCATGCCTAGGACAGCCGTTTGACCAATTGCTATGAAACTCAGCAGTTAGAAGTATGTGAATGTCATATATTGCACCCTAATATATAGAAATCCAACAATATTTTAATTAATTTCTGTCTGTATTTGATTTACTGGCTTTAGTTTACATTTATTGGAAAAAATTTAAGAAAATAAATATAATTCTTACTAAAAGAATATAATTTTAAAAAACCATATTTACTCGCATATAGGACGAGGTGTGACTTTAAAGATCAAAATAAAAAAATTAGATTTATTAATACAATTCTAATTTTATTTTGTTTAATCACAAGTAAAATATCAAATTAACGTAAATGAATACATTTTCCCACAAAAATTACTGGCATTTTAAACTTTAAGGAAAAATCTTGCAAAATCAGCAACATAATTCGTTCACATAAAGCTGGATAATCGGGAACCTTTTTTTTTTGCCAATTCTTAACATTCGAATCCATTCTCCGTTGATTACACTTATGAGTTTCTCCAAATTCCGACTTCCAAATGGGAATGGATTAAAACTTATATCAGACTCCCGTGTGATTTTGCAATTTCAATCTGGAATTCAATTCAAAAGCTTTGCTTTTTCTATTGCTATTCATCTTTACTCCTGACAATATACAAGAATGATTCAAATGACCAGATAAAATACTTATGTTTTTAAATACAAGAGGGTAAAAATACAGTAAAAATGCAAATAAATGGTTCACAAAAATTATTTGGAAAAATGCAAAGAATCTTTCACTTGAGCGTATAGCATGACCTAGAAATTTGAAGTTGTGATAAATGAATAAAAACCTTCTTATATGCGAGTAAATATGGTATAATTACTGCAACAGGTAGCACAGAGCACTTACCTGCATGGAGTGGTGTTTTGCCCCAGTTATGTTACATTTTTCCTGTTACATATCTGGCATGACTATTGCTATCTGTATCTAACTCAGTTCAGGGAAAAATTTTTGAATTGAAATAACATGACTAAATATGAACTTCCGTTTTCACCAGAAGATAATCTGGGCCTCTTGCTCTTACCTTTTCCATATCTGGTCTCGACTTTCATCTATCTAACTCTGTCCTTGAGATTAAGGAAGGACAGACAGACAGGAATTTATAGGTATACAATTTTTTCAAAATGCAGCCCAATAAGTACCCTTCAGTAACCGAGTGGATAAAACCACCAAACACTTGTAGTTGGTCATTGATTCATGCATTGACAATGGACTAGCCATGTGGGTTTTCTTTGTGTTAGTAACACCTAAATAGGGGCCAGCTTTACATAAGTCTTCCCAGGTCACTTGCGTGTTGCATTGCCATAACCAAATAAACCAAACTAATTCTAATAATTTTTCTATAAATGCGATATTTACAAGGACATACTTAACTACCATGAAACCTGGACATCCTGCCCTCCCAATTTCATCTCCCCGTTATCTCATAAATCCATTGCCCCAAACTTCATAAATCCATTGCCCCAAACTTCCTTCACTGATACTGCTTAAAGATGTTCTACCATTCAACCAAATTAATGTACTGTAAATGCAACAATTTTAAGGCACAAAGTAGAGCTGTCTTTTTCTGTGCCAATGTTTATTTTTCCTATTTATTATCATGGTAGCATTGCTTCATTCAAAATTTTAGGGAGTTGTAGTCTGTGTAATGTGCACTTTATTCACATGTTGACTCTTTACTGTCAAATCTGCTTCCAGTATGCTTATGCCACAACTTTCAAAAGTTTCCTTTACTTAATGTTTGAAACCAGGTTGAATAAAGTAAAACTTTGAGCTCTACTTTATTCAATCTGGTTTCACCAGTTTACGGGATCATTTTAAAAAATATTGTAAAAATGTGAGAATAGTTGCTTTTATCTAAACTTTTATATGAAGTCTTTTGGACATTAAGGTTAGCAACTTCAATCACATGCAGGCCATCATAACCTATCCAACACGAATCACTTTTCAAATATTAATAGTAGACCAGTATTAATTAGTAGTCAATGACCTCCTCACGAAAAAGAGGGATTCAATGACTACTTTTGGTCGAATTAACTCCAATCTCCTTCCACAATAATCCCTTCTTTCTATTGGACCCAACAGTGTGGTGGAATTTGAATAGGAAAAATTACATAATACAAGATTAATAGTAATTGCAAAGTATGGTTTAAGTGGTTTTCAAGAGTACGGAGTTTAAATATTTGGTTCATTTTTCATGAAATTTGATTCGTTGGCTGATTGTTCCATTCACAGCCAAATATCAAATGGTAGTTTGTTAGAGCTAGCATTAAAAAATATGATATCTTAAATTTTTTTAAATTTTCATATTATAGATTATTTATATTATTAAGATATCATATTTTCAATTGCTGTATACTCGACCAATAAAATTTTGCCATTTGTACCATCCAAGTATAGCAATAAACATGTCAATGGAAGGCTAAAATAACTAAACTCTATAAGGTTTTCATTTTAATATTTATATTATATTATAATACTTGATTTATATAACTACAAAGGTTAAATTGTTATAATTATTTATTCATGATCAAACGGCAGCTTAACCACCTTCCTCTCAATAAATTATGCCATATCTAATCATTGCCCAATAATTCGGCAGATTGTCTGGCTTTAACCAAAAATCAGGTTTGTTGTGTTATTTATATACATAGTGTATGTATATAAATAGGCTGCTTTTGTTTTTCAAGCTCCGATGGCCCATAAAACAAAGACATAATCACCATAATGATAAATTCCTCAATCGTTACGGTGATTATGTCGAAAAATAACCATGTTTGTACCTAACTTTTGGTAATAAATTCATTTTGTTATTTACATTTGTCTTTGTTTTATGGGCCATTGGAGCTTGAAAAAAAAAACAGCCTACATATATATGTACACTCACACAAGTGCATTTGCATGTGGTGCTATCAAAAGGAATAAGGGACAGTTACTGATACTTCAGTTGCATTGAGTATGATTATCAAATTTAAAATATTTTAAGAACAAATTCTTTCTTATACACTGGTAACAGTTACAGAAATAAACAACTTGAATTTGATAAACAGTATATTCATGCAAATTTATAAATAACACTAAATTAAAAATTTTTAATAAAAAAGAGATTGTAAATTTTAATGAAAGTATTGACAATTTTTATTCTCTTTCACTAACAGAGCTCCTTTACAAAACTCTTTATTAAAAATAATAACAACACTTTATAATATATAAAATATACATATTAAAATGATTTAAATTTGTTTTTATATTATTTTTCTCTTATTGTAAATTCTATGATAATATAACTTAAATTGTTTATGAATAAATTATCATAGAGTTTATAATTCTTTACATAGAAATATATATGTTATGGACAAAATGATTAATCGGGCATTATGAATAATGACCAAAAAGGGCACGCAGTGTGATAAATATTAATTAATTTATCAAATTGACCGGTCATTATGAATACTGCTATCATCTAGTTGGGCAAAGTGATGATAATACATTGAGGAGTAATCATTCAACATATGCTAGCCAATCAGCGCACTGAGTTGCACATCCATATCGCATTTAGTACTGAATTTTAAATTTATACAACCAATAATTAATCTTGTGTGACATTTTAATTTGATTAAAAAAACTCCACTTATTTCATTTTGAAATAAATCACAAAAAATAAATATTTCTAAATATTTTAAAAAGAACATGTAATCTTTTAAAACTAAGTACTATTAACTATATTAATTAAACAGTAAAATTTTACTTATGTGCACCGTCATTGTGGTGGTCACGACTGTTTGTGCTCTTGACGGATTCCTCCGGAGGGGAGCTGCCGGCAGGCTGCTGATTGTTTAACGTCACTAGTTATTGATTCACAGTAGTTGTTGAACACATGTATCAATAAATAGTGACGTTAAACAATCGGCAGCCTGCCGGCGGCTTCCCTCCGGAGGAATCCGTCGAGAGCACAGTCGCAACCGCTGCCAAATTCGATACTAAACGCAATACGCACACGCAACCCAGCTGCGAATGCTGATTGGGTAGTGTATGTCGGATGATAACTCCTTGAAGTATTATTATTATCACTTTGCCCAACTAGGTGATAGCAGTATTCATAATGACTGGTCAATTTGATAAATTATTGAAATTTATTACAATGCCTGATTTTGTTGGTCATTATTCATAATGCCCGTATTAATCACTTTGTCCATAACATATATATATATATATACATTGAAACTTGCTAATGTGACCACCTGCATAAGGTGCAATGACATAGGAACAAACTCATACCTGTGTAAGATGATGACCACTTTGAGCTGGTCCCTTCAGTGGTCACATTAGCAGGTTTCACTGTACCAAGTATTTTAAAAACAAATTGTTATTGAATAGATAATAATTTAAAGTAAAACAGCATATAACAGAACATTCTTACAAATTTATCCTGCAAGAATATTCTTTTTAAATTGAATTTTTAAATGATTTAAATGAATTAAACATTTACACAGACATTTCCATTTTAATTTTTGGATAAGGCTTATAGCCAATCAATTCAAAATCTTTAAAGCAAAATTCTTCAATGGATTTAACTTGCCTTTTGATCATCAGTTTTGGAAATGGTTTGGGTTCTCTCTTAATCTAAAAAGATTGTAAGAAAAATTTATAAAATCATTATTTTAGTACAAGATTAACATTAAATATTTATAAAAAGTATTAAAATACTTTTATCTAAAATTTAATTATAGTAATAAAAATAAAAGCATTTAAAAAATTGACTAAAGATTAATATACTGTATAGGAACAAAGCCATTTAATATCTAAATAATTAAATACAGGCATATCTTGCTAAAGGACATGTTCCAGACCACTACCATAAAGTGAATCACAGTATTTTTCATTTCCAGTAAATATTAGTGAAAATGTTTTTAGGCTTTTTTAATATTTATTAAATGCACAATAACACTAAGCTCTTAAGTAAAAGTGAGCGAGTTTTGATTTTTATTTATTAATAGCAAGAAAAGTGTTTTGAAGTGACACACACCTGTAATACTGTTTTAATCCACAGTTCTCAATTCTGGATCTAATAACAATTTTACATTTGGATAACTCAGTCTTCATATATGGTGTTTATCATCAAATTGTAAAATGAAGCCCAAAATATTAAACCATTTGTGATGAAATTTTAGTCATAAGTCATCAGTGTGGTGATATATCAATACAATGATAGATCTGTGCATTAAACATCTTACTATAAATATGGATTGCTTGCAAGCAGCCAGTATAAGGATGCAAGCAGCCTGTAAATGATCATTGAGAAGTGCAGATCTTTCAAAACTTGTGCATAGTTTGTTTTATCCATGGTTATTGTGTTGATCATAGAACACATTGGTATTTTGTGTAGAATTTTAAAATCACTGTTTTTACATCTAGCCTACAAGACAACTACTGATTTTGGGTTTTTTGATGGCTCAAATGCTGTTTTATTTTTTGAAACATACAGTAAATATTCTAATAGTAATTAGGAGAAAGAATATTTTAAGACAAATTTAGTTCTTGTGGATATATTCTTTATTTACAATTTTCAAACTAAATGTAAAGAATATAAAAATAACTATGATAAATGTTGGAAATAGTTGGAGTGACAATGACAAGTAACTTATATTTTGGAATGAACATACAGCAAAAAGCTGGATAATTGATTAATTAATATATATAATCTTCAAATATTCTTTGTAAAGAAAACCAATGCTATGAAGTTATTAATATAGGTTGATAAACTGGTTTATACTTTATTATACACATTTCCCAAATAAAGATTTGGATCTGAACAGATCTGAAAACAAACATCCCTTCATTTGGGAAACACTACTAGACTAAAAACAAAACTAAAAACAACATTTATATTCTTCATTTTTAAAATAAATTTCTTTAAATTCTTCTTTAAGTTTAAATTTTTTAATTACAACTTAAAGAATAAAACAAAAATAAGTTTTATTTTTCTTTATATACAAAAATCTAAACTTGAATGGCCATTTTCAATAAATATTATATATATATATTAACTAATACAACCTTTTTAATCAAAATTGTTGCAAAATGAAATACCTGTTGTTTCAAAGCATCTATGTGATTTAAATAGATGTGAGCATCTCCAAGTGTATGAATAAATTCTCCTGGTTTCAAATTGCAGACCATCGCAATCATGTGAGTCAAGAGTGAATAGCTTGCAATATTGAAAGGAACACCTAATCCCTTAAAAAATAAAAAATAATAAGTTTAATTTAAAAATCTAAATATAATAAAAATTAATTAACAAAACTAGAAAATGTTAAAATATTACTATATCTGCTGATCTTTGATAAAGTTGACAAGACAATTCATTGTTGGCTACATAAAACTGTACAAGACAATGGCAAGGTGGCAAGGCCATTTGTTCCAGATCTAAGAAATAAAATTTTAGTAAATTAACTGTTGGATAAGCTATCAATAAGGATAAAATAATTCCTAATTCATTTATGTTCAATAACTGTTTTGCTGAACATGTCAAAATTTTTTGATATGTAACTTGCAATAACAAAACTAAATGCATTATTGAAGTATTTACATTAGTCACTAATTTACCAATTATTTTATGTCCAAATTTTCCAAAAGATTCACTTTTCATCTTCAAGAATATCTTTGTAGAATCAAATGTCATTCATTATCAAAATAACAAAACAATTGCATCATAATGTTTATTAATCACTTTTAAAAAACAAAATAAACTAATAATTATTGATTAAACCATATTTGGAAATACAATTATAGTCAACAGAATAAGAAAAACAATTACAAATTTATAAATGATCATCATAAAAGTGCATATATTAAAATTAAATGATCAATAAAAAGAATATATACAACAATGCCATTTATCTGATAACTTATCTTCAATAACCATGACTATTCAGTATAGGACATTAAAGTACAATACTGTACTGTACAATTGCAATTGTTGAAAACTGAAGTAACAAGTGCCAGAAATTTAACCACTCAGCAGTGAGTGACGACTATAGTTGTCAAGGGGCAATCGTGTGGCAGTGGTGAGGGATGACTATAGTCGTCAAATTCTTTTGGGGGGTATCGCCAAAAACTACTGCGAAAAAAAAATTCACATAAAAAATGAATTATGTAACAATAAAAAAACTTTTCTTTACTAGACAAACTGTTTACAAAATATTTTTCCGAAACAGTAGTGAGAAAAAATGCGTGGAAAAATACTTTAAAAATTTCCCAAGTTTATTCTCTACTACTGGGGGTAGAACCATACAACTAGTCCACTGTTGAAAGGTTAAATTACACTACTGTAAATAGTACTGAATGCAAGATCAAAACAAGCATTTAACTTATTAAGAGTAAATATCTTGTATGATTTAAATTGATTCTAATCATTATGTTAATGTTGTTATCATTGATAGAATGACATGGCTTAACTATTGTTATCTGTTTTGTCACTGGGTTGTTATTAAGTGTCTAAGTAAATTCAAAATTATTATTAATAATGTAATGATAATTATGAGTAAATTCCTAATTACAACAAGGAAAAGTTTTGTAATGTCATTTAATTTGTTTGGGACATATTGATTTGATATTACTAAATGATTGATGATAATAGCTGCACTTACTGTAGTTTGAATTTAAAACTTGTTAAACCAGGTATATTCAAGAGATAACATTTGAACCATAGGACGTCCATGTTACCATCAAATATTTTAAAGTAAGAAAATTAAACCATAAAAAATTTATTAATCATTTGCTAACCTGTTGGATTCCATGCACTCATAATTATCCTTCTGTCATTAGGATTATTTTTAATTTTATCTATCACATCTTTTAACTGATCAATTCCTTGTCCAGAATAATCTGTATGCATTGTTTCATATTTTGCTCCATAATGTCTCCATTGAAAACCATAAACTGGCCCTAAATCTCCTGAAAAAATTATTTTATATATTTTAAATTATATTTGTTTAAAAATTTTATAAAATTTCAACCATTAACTGAAAACCAGTTACTAAATATTTAAAAACCACAAATTTCAATTAAAATAATTCTATAAAATAGTAAAAAACAAAATAACAAACCTGATCAAATAAGCATTTTTGAATACTAATAATACTTGTAATATTATTATTATGGTGTTGATGGAGTGTATCTACACAGCATACATATTGGTGCCTATTACTAAACCAAAGCACAACTGCAGAAAACAAAAGTCCTGCTTACACATGTGAGGAAGGACAAAAGACACCTCTGTGGGTTCTGATCAGTGTTGGGCTGACACTACTCGCTTTGGAGATCGTCCTTGAGGTGAAAGGTTATCACCCCCCTTTGCCCATGATCTGTCAGGATGACGTGAGAAAGTCTTTTTACGTATGGGGTAGTGGTTTGCTGGACACAAAGATGACTCACACAGAGACCAAAATGACTAAATTAACATGTTTATTTGACAAGACATGCTTACAATGATGGCGATTTGCCAATCTGACAAAATCGACTGATGAAAGTTCTTTTTGGAGGAGTCCTATAGGACTGAAGAGAGTTTGTCCTCAATCCCAGTTGTTGCTGGAGGTAGGGAGAACAGGGATTCACACCGGGAGATAGGTACCAGTCTGGGTAGATAAGCATTTTTGGGGAAGTTGGGTCCCTTACTTTGCCACACTTATCCAAGGTTTTGGGTCTTTTCCATTGTCCTGGTTTTAATCAAGTCAGTCCAACTGGGTCCCAATCTCTACTCTAAACCTCCCCGTGGCCTTGGAGTTTTATATCATTTTTACCCGAAATCCTGAGGTTTTGGTTGGTCCAAACAGCAGTCCCCTGTAATTTCATTGGTTCCTGGCCTGTTGCCAGGGGCGCAATTTGGGCCATGGGGTCACCGAACAACTCCGAACTCCCCCGTTTGGGCCATTCCCCTCTGGAGTCAGGTCAAGTCCTACTCCAGATGATGGACCCATAAATTTCCTCTAATGTGTATTTTTCTGTCCTGGAGAAGATGTAGCTGTCCCAGCCACCGCAGCCACCACACCCTCCACAGGAGTGTCAGCAGATCCCGCTTTGAGCTCTCTGTAAGATGACCATCCAAAGTTACCCCGTCAGACAATCCCTCTCTCGCTCTCATGATGTACGATCAGGGATCTGTCAATTAGGTCTGGAATGTGACAATTAAATCATCTTGCACCCCATTCCTTGGCCACACTGGTCCTGTTTATGAAATAAGTCACCAATTTCCATCAGGGGGGTGATGATGTCCCAGCCTCACACATACTGTTCATGTATGTATTTCTATTTAAGAATTTTCTGACTGTGGCATGTATTTAGTATGGCAGTTCTCTATAGTGTGGTGTATGTGCTGTTGTGTAACTGTAATGTTTCTAGGCTTTTGTATAGTGTATATGGCATGCTGTATGTTCAAGCAAGAAAGTACTACTGGCACAATAAGTACCATACCTTATTAATTCTCTGTAGATGCTTTATTTTGTGGCGAGTTTTGAATCTTTTCTAACTTTTTTTGTGTATTTTGTATGTTGTGGGTATTTGATACAGCTATATACATGATTTACTGACAAACAAAACAACATGCATGTGATGTCTGATCTGTTGTGATGGATTGTTTTGTCTTATTATAGCTCAATCACAATATATTTTGTGCCAGATCTATTAAAAAAGTTAAAAAGATAAGAATAAATTTTCTTAATTTACTAGTCAGGTATTATTTAAATTATATTAAAAATATATAAATTTGATAAAACTATGATAAAATCCATTGTTATCCATTTACTTTTCTGACTTTTAATTTTTTCACAATGGTGAAATTAAAAGATAAAAATGTAAAATTTACTTAATTTAAATATGGGTATAAATGTGTCACCAGAATGATATATGATTACAGATGACACAGACAAGAAAACGTGAATGTAATGAAGAAATTTGAAAAACCAGCATTTGTAAGCTTTTGTGAAAATTCTGTACCTTTGTTTGTTTCATTTTATGACTATTTATTGTTTGTAGGGAACAATTTGTTCTATGAAGTGTAATAACATACTAAAGAGGATAGAAAGGTTGAAATGAATTTATGAAAAAAATAAAGAAAATAACATAAAGTAAAGGTTTTAAAGTCTTTTAAAATCAGGTTTATTGTTATTTTTAAGTTCTCCTCGGATTTGATTATACATAAAACAACAAATCAAAAATAATTTATTGAACATAAAAAACCGGATTAATAATGGAAAAGCAAATACTATTAATTCTAACTGATAATGTGATGGATTTATTCATCAATGAATGTGCTGGGAGTTCAAGTAGTGGTGGGAGGATCACATTCATTTGAATTTTTTGTGAATTTCTAAACAAACACTAAAATAGTCAAATATTTTCACCTGTGAAACCCAAATTTTATTGGAGGAACTGATAAAGTTCCATGAGAAATCTGGTCTAGACCACCAATTTCAGCCCTATAGCAAACCTTTTTTAGTCTGCATGCCATATAATAAGCATAATTATCTTTAAAAATGTTTATGCCTGCCAAAGTTTTAGACTTCAGCCAACCATATATAAAGAAATGAAATGAATATGCTTTAATTACAATAAATGTAAAGCAGATGAAAAAAGGATGATCAGGTAATAATCAAAATCGTATGATAAGTTGAGTGCCACTTAATAATTTCCCGTTATGCTATCTTGGACACGCCATAGATTTGCCACTCCTAGTCTAGACCAAACTTAATTTGAATGTCACTGGATTAAGTTTGGAAAACATGTAATAGGTGCTTTAGCCATGCATGTGTGGATGCATAGTTTTATGTTATCCATGTACATAAAATGAGATAATATATATTATGTTGTTGTTACTATTATTATTGTCAATGTCATGCTCAGCTGATACTGGTACCAAGTGCTATGTCAGACTAAAGTCAAGGCAAATAGCTACCTAAACAAGTGTAACATTAAGCTATGTTATTGGTATGTGTGTCAACATCTAGAAACTTCCTAACAATATGATGTGTGTTCAATATTGCAGCTTTCTGTAGTGCCAAATATATGTTTTTATTAAGGATTAATGATTCTAGACTTTTGTGTAGTTTATGTGGTATAACACCAGTAAAAGAGGACAGCAAGTAATATAATAAATACCTTATCCATCCTCCACAGTTTCTTTATTTCTTGAGCAAGTAAAGTGTACTTATTGGTTTTTTCAGTGTGAGCAATTTTTATGTTATGAGTGTTTGAAATGGAGATGTCTATTATATAAGCAATCTTATTGCATTTGTTGACGAGAGTGATGTCAGATCTATTGTGATAAATTGTTTTATCTGTGATTATGGCTCTGTCATAGTATATTTTGTGTGTCATTTTCTAATACTACCTGTGGAGTATATTTGTAGTATGATACCTGGGTGTTTAATAATCTGTGTTTGTGTGCAAGCTCTTGGTGTATTATATTTGCTATTTGATTATGCCTATGTAAATAAGCTATTTGTGCTAAGAGCTTGCAAGCAGAAGTTATATGTTGTATTGTTTTTGGCAGAATATGACTTTCTGCAAGAGCCATTTGTTAGTGACGTATCCTTTAGGATGTGTTTTCTATAGTTTTTAGTGTTTATGACCTGATCTTGAATGGCAACCATAAACCCCTTGTCTCTCCAAACAGACATCTCCTAGCCAGCCAGAAGTTTGATGCAGTTTTGTCAACATAGTCCTGAGCTAGGTTGTAGGCATGCCTGCATAAAGTGCTTTTTGGGCCCATGACTGCTTAGTGGTGTCTATGCTATTTATGTGTTGAGCTATGTCCAGGTACTCAGAGTGTAAATTTAAAGGTATGTGGATACTGTCTATCAGAATTATAGCTTTATGTAATCTTGATGTTTCTTGTTTTTTATGGAAACCCTCCCACGGTGTTTGAATATATAGTACAGGTTAACTATATTAGTCAGGCCATCTTCTTTTCAAGGATGAGTTAGGCTTTCTATAGATTATTTTAGATGATATTGTTTATGCTTAAGTGTTGTTCTTGTTCTCCTTTGGATTTGGTCTAGATTTGAGTGTGTCCAGTGTATAACTCCAAACAAATATGTGAGTACAGGAACAACAAATGTATTAATAACTTTAATACAGTAGAGCATTGATTATCCAAAACAATTCAGGACTGGGATTGTTTGGATGATTTTTTCAGATAACCGATCACACTGGACAACAATGATTTTGTTTCGAGCTCAAAATTAGCATATTCTTATGTATTTTCATCTGCTAAATTCAAAAATCACTATAAAAATGACTGATTAGCTCTTGCTTTGGAGCAGCAGTTCCCAACCAGTGGTCTGCAAAAGATTTAAAACTTTTATTCATTTTAAATTATAATTTAAAATGATTGACAATCTAAATAATACAAAATATATGAGAAAGCTTTTATAGTAAAATTTGTAAAAAAAAATGTTTCATTACAAAATAGTGTATCTTCAATTATTTCAAATTTTCGTTGGCGTTTTTCCTGTAACACTCCTCAGATCTGACAATCTAAATAATACAAAATATATGAGAAAGCTTTTATAGTAAAATTTGTAAAAAAAAATGTTTCATTACAAAATAGTGCATCTTCAATTATTTCAAATTTTCGTTGGTGTTTTTCCTGTAAAACTCCTCAGATCAGCATAAAACTACACTCTATTATAGAATATATATTTATGCAAACATGACAGTCCTCCTTGACTCAATCAATTATGCTGAGCACAAGTGGAAAATATGTGGTGATCTAAAAGTCATTGTTGTACTCTTAGGAATGCAACTGGGGTACACTGAATACTGTTGCTTTTTTATGTATTTGGGACAGTATAGATAGGAAATCACATTACATTCAAGTGGACTGGCCTGCAAGAAATCTTGACTCTACCGAGAAAAATATCGTTGCCGAGCCTCTCGTGGATCCAAAAGATGTTCTTCTTCCACCCCTTCATATCAAGCTGGGTTTAATGAAAACTTTTGTCAAAGGTATAAACCAGAAAGGACAGGCATTTAAGTAGTTAAGAGACAAATTTCCTAGATTGAGTAATGCAAAGGTTAAGGAAGGTATTTTTGTTGGGCCACAAATTCGAAAACTTGTAAAGGATCCCACGTTTGATCAAGTTTTGGAGGGAAAAGAAAAGGAAGCTCAGGAAGTCTTAAAGGGAGTTATTCGTGGATTCTTAGGCAACAAAAGAGACAACAACTACACTCAGTTGGTGATGATACTTCTGGAAAAATATCATCAACTCAGTTGCAACATCTCTCAAAATCCATTTTCTCCATTTCCACCTAGACTTTTTCCCTCCTAGTTGTGGAGCTGTCAATGATGAACATGGGGAAAGATTCCACCATGATATTTCTGTATTGAAACAAAGATATCAGGGCAATTGGAATGAAGCAATGCTTACGGATTACTGCTGGTCTGTGTGTACGGATGCACCAGAACTCACTCACAAGAGGCAAGTCAAAAGAAAACGATCTCATGAAGTCACCACATGATTCTTTGAGGATCCGCATTCGGACTTTCCGTGTGTTTATATCATTACCTCCTAAGATCATACTGTAGCGATAATTTCATTCGATAACTGTCAACTTTTACACCTGGGAGCTAAACATCTGCTAAGTTCTCAGGCGTAATAACGACCCTTTCTCAGCACCTTTCAACCTAATATCTCCGTTTCAACAATTCAACATGAAAAACAGAGGACAAAATGAGTCAGTCGTCACCAGTTCCTCGATCGGACCACTCAAGTTATCCCTGTGCCTCGCCTTTGGATACCTCCTCGCCTAATAACTGTGGAAATAAGAACTGTCTTCTTTTGTGATTTCATACAAGGTATTTATCGCCACGTGAAACTTCTGTAAACTCTCTCTCTCAAATCGGGGAAAACACAATATCTTAATATCTAATACCTATCAAATCGAGAAATGTATCTAACAGCAGCCCTAATGTATAGCCTATCGTTAACCATTAAACAGTTGTTACGTTAAAAAGTGTCTGAGTAAATCACTTCCGGTGCGTTGTCTCTCCTTCTACACACGCGACCGCTCACGCTATAAGCAATCTTATTGCATTTGTTGACGAGAGTGATGTCAGATCTATTGTGATAAATTGTTTTATCTGTGATTATGGCTCTGTCATAGTATATTTTGTGTGTCATTTTCTAATACTACCTGTGGAGTATATTTGTAGTATGATACCTGGGTGTTTAATAATCTGTGTTTGTGTGCAAGCTCTTGGTGTATTATATTTGCTATTTGATTATGCCTATGTAAATAAGCTATTTGTGCTAAGAGCTTGCAAGCAGAAGTTATATGTTGTATTGTTTTTGGCAGAATATGACTTTCTGCAAGAGCCATTTGTTAGTGACGTATCCTTTAGGATGTGTTTTCTATAGTTTTTAGTGTTTATGACCTGATCTTGAATGGCAACCATAAACCCCTTGTCTCTCCAAACAGACATCTCCTAGNAATTTTTCTTTGTCATATTCAATTTTCTCACCCAAAATTAGTAAGATTTCACTCATGAAATAAAAGAAACATTCAAAAACATTTTCTTTTGTTGTCCAGTGTCATTTACAAAAAAATATATTAAACACAAAACTGTACTGTATATATTTTGTATCATACATCTTACAAATACATATCTTATATAAAGTAGTACATTAAAGTAGGCCTACAGTTTAGGTTGGCAGGGAGGGAAAGAGTGCTGCAGCACCACAGCATTAGTGGAAATTTGAATTTGCTGACTGGAATACTTTCAGTTAGCCGATGTTTTGGTTGATTGGTATTCGGATAATCGATGCTCTACTGTAGTTTGCATTTAAGTTTTCTTAGTACTGCACCTAATCTGTTCTGGTATTCGAGTGTTAATCTTTGTTTTGTCTGGGCATGTTTTGTAAGTTTGGTCTGTTAGAATCCTAAATATTTGTAAAACTCACCCTCTTCCATGGATTCAATAACATCTCTACTTCTGCATACAAAGTCTCTTTTCTTCAGAACTCCTTTTTCAATAGTGTTTTGCATTTGTCTAGAGCAAACTCCATTTGTATATTATTCGAGTATGTTTGTGTAGTAAGAGATGAAGAAGCCAATTCTGTGTGTATGCATAAAATTTGATATCATCCATGTGATGTGATAATGAGATGTGATAATGTAAACTGTGTTGTTTTGTTGTGTCTGATATTGTAACTATATTGTGTTTTGTTCAATGTACTAGATAAAGGGTTAAGTGCATGGCAGAACCAAAGAGGATTCAAGGAATCTCCTTAAAAAATTCCTTGCTTGATGTATATTTGATTTGTTTTTATGTGACTGTTATGGAGGTTAAGATATAATGTTGTTCTCTAGTGAAGCATGGTAAAACCAAGGTAACTAATGGGCTAGGAATGAATTTTGTAGATGCAAAGTGTGTACAGCAGCCAAGTGTGTGGGACACTATTGAATAGTTTTCTGTAATTAACGTATGCCATGTGTATGTTTCTGTGTTGTTTATGAACTTGTTGTACGATAACGAGTAGTTGTTCTTTGCAACCTTTGTGATTTCTATGGCAGCCTTTGTTGTTTTTGTTCATCAATATGATTGCATATTTTGTTTGCAATGCAAGAGGTAAGAATCTTCTAAAGTGTTAAAAGACACGTAATTGGTCTGTACCGTGCAGGATCTGTGGTGGTGGTGTTTTTTGGTTTCATGTAGGTGATGGATGCCCTGTGTGAGAAAATTTGGCATGTCTTGTGGATTGTTGATGATATGAGTTAAATGTTTAACTAGTTCCTGGTGTAGGGATGTGAATGTTTTGTATCAGAAATTATGACTGTTGTCTACATCAAATGTTATCCAGTTGTACTTTCTGCATTATGCAATTGATGTCTTATATATTTATTTCAACACAATGGATACTAAGTGTGTCATACTAAGTGCATATCTTTGTTCTCCTCTTTGATCCAGTCTGTGTCGGCATTATGCCTGACAGCAGTAGACCAAAGAGAAGACCAATAATTTGTGAGTTGTTATTATTATTATATTCATATAACTTTTAGATCAAGGGTCGCCAAACTTTTTTGATCGTCGACCTCCTACAAGTTTTCGAAACCTCACATCGACCCCCCACCAAAAAGTTTATGTTACAAGCATAACAAAGTACTTACTATTTTAATACATTTCTTTTAATTTTGCATTTTTTTTCATTTATTGTATATTTGTTAATAATAATTTTTGTAACTGACAATCAGTAAGATGGATAAGCTTGATCCTTAGCTCCCCTTATCCTTAGCTTAATTAAGCTTGAAAATTGACCCCAACAATGTTATATCGACCCCTTGGGGTCGATATAACATTGTTGGGTCGATATCGACCCTTAATGGTCGATATCGACCCAACAATCGACCCTTAAGGGGTCGATATCGACCACTTTGGCAACCCGTTTTAGATAAATTTTTATACTAAATTCAGAGATTATTATTATTAAGTTGAAAAGCACTTTTGTAATTATTATAATGTAAATTTACCTTCTTCTCTTTCTGTCAGTCCTAGTGAGTCTAAATATTCTCGTCTTCCATTTGCATCCCAAATGTGCACACCAGCTTTAGTTAATTCATTTGCATTGGTACTGCCACGTATAAACCATAGAAGTTCTTCAACTACTCCTCTCCAAAATACCCGTTTAGTTGTCAAAAGAGGAATGGTGTCTAAAAAATATAAATATTATGCAGTTATTTCTTTCTGATCATAAAAGTTCTTTGATATATGGCTTGATTTGATCTTATTTTCATTTGTATTACTATTTATAAATTTTATTAAAACTCTAACCTTTGTGAGGCTCTGAAAGTGGGCCAGAACCACACAAAAAAATTAAGAAAAAAATTATAAAACGATTTAAGCTAAAGGTAAAAACTTCATGCCCATATAAGGACATGTTTGATGGAATTATTAGAAAAGAGAATACTTCTCATGTTAAAACAATAGAATAATGTAAGTCCTAAGATCAACCATTTTGATTGAGATTGAATTTGCAATCAATGTTGACTCATCCTGTGATCTGGGATCTGATCGCTTTACACTTAGTCATGAGGGGAGAACAATTAGAAAGAGATGGGAAGGAGCAACCAATCAAAATGGTTGGTCTGGGACACAAAAAAAAGCTTATAAAAATGACAATTCTAAGGACACGGAGAGCTTCTCAACCTGCCTTTGCTATTGTGTACATCCATCTTGAAAAAAAAAAAGGGTAGTAGTTTACCTTGGTAGCCCCAATGGTGGCACATCTGGTATCTCGAGTACAGATGAAAGTTGAAATACGATCTAGGTGGTGCCGAGATATAACCCCCCAAAATCAAGTTGCGCGAGTTACCAAAGGGTGCTGCTCCTTGAGGTTATGGCTTCACCAGAGGCATCGCACGCACCTCGCTTCGCTTGGCCACTTGTGGCATTGGACAGGCAGCCACAGTCATCCCCAAACCCCAAGGGAATGAAATGAATTTATGAAAAAAATAAAGAAAATAAACCAAGGTGAATAGCACACTTAACATCTGACAATATTCTCTTGTCAATGTCTATTTCTGGAAACTCGGATTCCAACATATGAAAAAATCTCTTGAAATGCACTTTTTCCAAAATTCTTGTGAAACTTTTATAACCTCAGACATTATTTGTTATAGTAAAATTAAGACAACTTCTATTTATTAAAATTTTAAATTCTATAAAAAAAACAAACTTTTGAATTTAATTAACAATATTTTAATACCTCACCAATTTACATTTGTAGCATTTAATCTCAGACTCAAAATTTTGCATATTAATAAATTATTATGATCAGCACCACCTAGATCATATTCCAACTCGCACCTGTTGCTAAGATTTCGGATGTGCCACCATTGGGACTACCAAGATAAAAAAAAAATAATATTCAATGTCATCGACCCTACTTTGGACTCATCATCCCTTGCTCCAGCTTCAGATGACTGACAACGTCTCAGGGCTGCCAATCTCAAGAAGAACAACATTTGCTCACCAACAGAAGACTTTATTGTACAAAAGATGCTTTCAATAACAAACTGGGATAATTGTTTTGTAACTGGAGAGTTGTCTCTGTAACTAACACTCCCACACACGAATCGGCATTGCTCAAATATCTTGCTGTTACATGTGGATTGGCGACCTCACATATTAAATATCTGCTAAACATTATCTAAACTAAATTAAAATATAATTCTTACCATTTCTTAAACTATATCTTGATTGCATTCCAAATATTGATAATGTACCAGTTCCTGTGCGATCATCTTTCTTTGCACCTTTATTAAGAATGTACTGTATTTGGTCCAAATATTGATATTCTTCGTGTCTAAAAAATAAAATCTCTCATTCTAAATTTGAAAAAAGAATTAAAAAAAAATATATCAAACATAGAAAATATATTTTCTTATGTTTGATTTATATTCAGCAAACTCTGCATATCGTAATCATGGATGTTATCAGTTGTTTAATGCTATCAAAATTATCGTGTCTCAAAAAATTTAAGCTAAAATCCACTTATAAAACTTTGTATATTATAATCAGAATTTCATAGTTATTATCTTCATCTTAACCCTTGTATTACAAAGACAGTTACATTTATACTCCAAGCTATGTTTTATTAAAATAATTTTGTACCCATTAGTGCTAAAATTCCAAAATTTTGTTATCTTGTCAGTCTCATCTCTAAATAATCATATCTGCAAGAAACTGCTTTACATTTTAATTAAAATAATTGACTGAAATAGTAGCTACGGTACTACTTTACCTGATATTTTTTGTTACAAGTGTGACACAGTGGAGAGTCCCTGCAGGTGTTTTACAACTATTCAAATGAAAATTAGACAACTGAAGGATAGAAAATGGCTTTGAGGAACAGAGATGTTTACTGTATAGTTTGGGGAGTGGTATAACAACACAGGAGACTCAAAATTCACGGTTCAAAGAAAAAATTCAGAATTAGAATTTTGAATTTTTCTGTAGCAGGATCTAAATAACAGAATTAATTTACCAATATTTCACACTGGATTGTTAATTGCTTTGATTTGACTTTTCTTGTTCATCAGTCTTTAGTTTGAAAAATTTCACTAGATAAGCCTTGTACAAATACAAGGATTTTTGAAGGAAGATACTGACATCAAAAGTATTGTATCCAAAATTGAAAGTGTAGACTATGAAGAGAGTGAAGTTTTTGATATGTTGAATGGAAATGGCAAAAACTATGTGGACAGTTCAGATAATTTTATCAAATTGAGGACCAAGTCAGAGAAAGTATGGTTGTCTTGTCCTCCCAGTAAAAGATCATGCAATGGAACAAATGTAATATGACTAGATCTTGATTTTACAATACAGCAGGGAAATAGAAAGAATTTGACAGCTTCACAGAGGTTTCTATCACTTAATATTGTTGCCCAGATGGTCTAAGAAACAAATGAAACTGCATTGAACTAGAGTGAAATATTACAGAGTGAAATCAACATCCTGACAAAGCTAAAGCATGGAAGCTGGCAGTAACACAATTTATGCATACTTGATATTACATTTTACTCAGGACACACTAAAGTCAAGAAAGGGCCCGTTACTCTGATTTTTTAAATCCTGCATACAAGAGACTGGTGTTTACTGTATATATGTAGCTTGCTATGCTACATATACAGTTTCAATACCTTATATCTTCATTAGGTTTGACAGTTTTGAAACAAGATGTAAAAAATAGTTAAAAATGTTTGTGGCAATAAGAAAAGTATTTGAAATCTTTGTAAGAAACAATAAGCAAGATTACTTCCCAAGTATTCATATCACTATTGCTGAGCAATTAGTTGGCTGCTATGTCAAGTCTCCTTTTCATATATACACAATATATAAACTAGACAAATATGAGATGAAAATTTGAGTTCTGGTGGACAATTGCCTAAATTATGATCAAAATTTACCAGTTTACAAAGGAAAAAAAGGAAAATACATCTAGAAAAAAATCAAGCAAGCAAGTTGTTTTGAATTTAGTTTGATATTTTACAAAAGTGTGGAATTACATAACAATATTTTCATGTCCACGCCCATGGCCAAAGAACTTCTGAAATGAGGAATATGTGCAAAAATAAGTCAAATATCCTGTCCACAATGCATATCATCAAACAAGATTTAAACTCAAACAACTTCAAATAAGATACTTTATCAATTTAGATTTTTAAATAATAATTTCTTGCATTCAGTTTTATGCACTGTTTTCATTTATTTATTTATTTATTTTAGTCATATAATAAAGGAACCATTATGTTCTTAGCATGTTTGCATAAGGGCACTATTAAAATGAAACACATTTTACAGTAAATTTTATTATTATTTTAAGTAATTGTTTATAAGCCATACACCAACGTTTTCTCTCTTAATTATATTTACAATATAAACTTAGACATTACTACTTCATAATCATTTAAAATTTTTAAAATATATTAATTAACAACAAACCTTTCAAGTGTTTTATTTTCTATATAATTTTCTTTCTGGTCTAAATTAGACACTTCGTTTAAAGTTTCAGGCATTTTGTTGCTTCGAAACACACTTCGACCTTTCCCTCTAAAACTACACGCTTTGTAAACGGTATAACAAACTTTCGCGCAAAATAATTGAAGGACCAATGAACGCCAAATATTTTTATTACGCGACATTATTAGATACGCCATTGGATAGTTCGAATTATGTTAATGACGGAAATTACAAATATAAGTGTTGCCATTTGTCATTTTTGTAATTAAACTTACATAACATTTTATAAATTTAACTTGTTTTTTTAAATTTTTGCTTACGACGAAAGTCGCAGTAGCAACCATAAATTCTGTCTGATTGGAAATTGGGTTTAATGTGATTTTATGATGCGGCATACAGGAATAAGATTTAAATAAAGTATGATTTTTGTATTATATTCGGGGAATTCCTATTTTCTGCGCTGTATTAGCAGCAATAGAAAGTGCAGTTTCCGTCGCTGTAAATAATTAAGTAAAAACGGTTTTAAACGATAGATAGACAGTGCTTAAAGATGGCCGCCTTATCATCGGCAGTTTTCGCAACACTTGAGTATTTTGCTGCATCAAAAAATGGTTCCTCTAACGCAATTTCCTGAAAAGTTGAAAAAAAAGGCGGAAACACCCCGGATGCATGCGTGCATCGATATCATTTAATATCTCAGGATGAGGTAAAGATTAAAAAAGGAAATTTGACACGGTAACATGGGTATAAAGCGCAGCGATACTTTTAAATTTTCTCAAGGGATAAAGCAATAGATGGAGTCAAGTGTTATAACTTGACAGGGGTAAGACTTAATGAAAACTTAACTCGTACAGGTTTTTAAGTTCTTGGAATGATGAAGATTTTGTCTTATAAAACTTCAAAATGGCACCCCAATTTAAAAAAAAAAATCAGCTACCCGTTGCTGGTTTATTTTTTAAAATTTATTTTGAGTCTCGGTATTTTTTTAACTATAACACATTAATCAATAATTCTTCTTATTTTCACACACTACAGATTTTTATTTAAAAACCAAGCCTTCAAATATTCATGATCTACTTCGCTTCTGAAGAGTATGAGGAACATTTCGAGATAATTAAAACTAAATGTTACTTATACCGAATGTTTCAGATTGTAAAACTACTTAAAATTGCATAATCTACAAATTTAAGCAGATAAATTATTGATTTTTATATACAGTAGAGTCTCGAAAACTCGGTCTAATGTGGACCGAAGGGTGGCCGAGTTTGTGAAAATGCCGGGTTATTGGGAATGGAGTTAAAAAAAATAAGTATGAGTGTTTCCTCAGAAAATACTGTACTGTACTTGTATGTATTGTTTACTTGAGAATACAACAGAGAATAAACTGCCCAAATACCCTTAAACAAAAGAAAAGTACGTCCTTTATGAAGGCATAGAGCCTTTACTACATGAAAATGAAAATTAATGAATACACCGTGTACAGTAATTTACCTGATAAGACAGACCTCAGAAAAATACTTTATGAGGCATAGAGCTGTCTATAATGAAAATTAATTAAGGATTTTTTTGCCCTGCCAGGGTGTGGCCGAGTTATCCGGACTGCCGGGTTATCGAGTGCCGAGTTTTCGAGACTCTACTGTATTTTGTATATATCATTTTAAAAAAAATACAAAAGACAAAACACATTTTTATTTACAATTTATTACTTACTAATTATTTATAAATTTTAAGTAACAAATATAAATTCACAAAATGATTCAGAAACCTTTAAGATCAGTATGTCCCAACCTGGGGTTACTCGTAGTATCCTTGGGTGCAAGCTACTATTAAGCTAAGGAAAAAAATTATATAATGACTACCAAATGCAAATTATTAATTAAAAATCAATGATTTTGAATTAACCTTTTGATAATATTCTTAACTATCAATATTTTCAATTTACGGATATTTAGAGATATACAAAACTTTCTATTTTCATGAAAAAAAAAAAAAATAGGTAGAGTGGAAGAGGTTGGAAACTCCCACTTAGGCAGAGTCGATAGATATATGATCCTTGCGCTGCCAATAGCTCTAATGCTACGATAGTGGCGTAATAAATATTTCTGCCACTTCGAGCGCTTCAATCGCTTCACGGCATAAGTTTGGTTGAAACATAGGGAAAGTCAGCTGTAAACATTCGAAATTCTTTTAATATATGAAATTTTCTCGTTTTTAACTCATATTTCTTTTTTCCTTTTTAAGGGACTGATTATAAATACTATTTTAATTCGGTTTTGAATATTATTTATTCGTAAATGTCGTTAATATTTATATTTCTATTAACTGTCACTTTCACGATTTTACACTTTAAATTGATTAGACTAGAATACCTAGATTATCAAAATAGCTACAATTGCTTGTCAAATTTTCTAATGATTAGTTGTATCACGTGGTTAAAATCCGCCATGCTCTGAGAAAAAGTGCGCGTGGCTCTGTATATTTCGAATGGTAAGTGTTCTTTAACTAAGCATAAATTCTTATATTTTGCATGTTTCTTTTGCTAGAATAACTTAAAAATTAGCGTTTCAGCGAATGAAACTTGTCTGACTTGAGTACTGTAATAATCACGCTGTACTGTAGTTTTGTTCCAACATAATAAATTATATAGTTGAAAGAGAAATAGTTACAAACTTTAAACATATAAAAATATTGCTATAGAAAAGTATTATTTATAATAAAACTAAAACATTTATATGTACTGTAGTACCTAAAAAATTAGTTTGTTATCCTGCTCAAAACAAATTTAATTCTATTACTTGTAAGACTTCTTTAATACATCCTGTACAATAACAATACAAAGACACACAAGTACTTTGGATCTTATTGAAAGGCAGCATTTACAGCATTTATTTGGTAGAATGTGATTATTTGTAAAGCTAATACAATTTAGAAGGCATATTAAAATTAATTATACAAATGATTCTTTTACATACTAGTACTTTTGTATTGTTATTTAGCTGAATGCATTAAAGGTGTCTTAAAAGTCATTTTGAATACAGTTTTAGAATATACCCTTTAATTTTATTATGCAGATATTACTGAAATAATGCCTCGATGTTTAGTTTTTGGTTGTTCTAATTCTTCTGTAAAAGGATATATCGTGAAATGTTTTCAAAGAGATCCTGTTCGGAAAAAAATTTGGGCTAAAAAAAGTGCGCCTAGAAAATTGGAAACCTGCAAATAATTCTTGTTTGTGTGAAGTTCATTTTGAACCACGAGTGTGGGAAAAAGTGACACTTGATGGGAAGAAAAAATTAAAGCATAATGCCATTCCAACTTTGTTTTCATTCACAAAACAAATTATTCACAGAAAACCACCAAAAGGAAGTTCCTCGACTGTTATAAAACAAGCAAAAGTTACTTCTCCAGTACATACTACTCATATTACTTTTACACCATCAACAAATTTTGAAAAATCTTCAACATTTATAGAAGTTTAAGAACAATTTAAAATTAATTTCGTTATCTCAATATTTAAAAAATGTGTCAAAAGGGAGTTACGATGATGATGACGACAGAGAGTTTTTATTAGAATTTCTTGATGTAATCAAAGAACCCATAAAAGAATATGATAAAGTTGTTATACCAGAAAGTTTTAAAGTTGAAAATATGCCTCTAAACAATGCAGAAATAAATGCATTATATAATATATCTGGTTATTTAATAACAAGTATAGAACAAAACCTGTAACAAATGTATTACATCAGTAGGATCCAAAGAAAGTCCTCTATTAGAATATTCAAAATTAGTTGAAATTAAAAGTTAGCTAAAAGTTTTACGTAGTGAAATAACAAAATAACACATAAAGAAAAGAAACACATCTTTACTCCAGCCAGTGTAAGAACAAACTACTGTAACTTTATTTTATTTAAAGAAAAAAATAGGATAGTTTTTACAGTATAAAGACGGGACGTTAAATAAAAATATAAAAAAACTATTATTAATAATAAAAGCCTCAAAAGCTTTCCCGGGAGAGAGAAGAAGAGTTAAGACAGTATAGAGGTAGTGCACGTGACGTCACACGACTCCGCTTACGAAGCGCGCGCCATATTGGTTGTTGTTGGTTTGGTTGTCGACCTCGATGTAATATGCTTGTAAACTTTACTGTTTGTTTTAATATTTGTTTTCTTTGTTATTTTAGTTTAAGTTTATCTTATTATTATTTTATGATATTCTGTCAATCTTATGTATACTATATACTCACTTATTGTAAAATTTTTCCTGGTGATGCTCTACAGCGGGGACAGGAAATGTACATAATACTGTACCTAATAAATTAAAATGAATGAATGAATGAATGTCGACCTCGATATTGTCATCTAACTCATATTTTTTCAAATTTAATTTTAATTTATTATGATTCATTACACTACCAATTGAACTGCTTACAGTTAGAACTAAAGATTCTGTAACAAACAATTGAAAAAATTGTCACAATTTGTTGTGCTTTAATANATTAAGGATTTTTTTGCCCTGCCAGGGTGTGGCCGAGTTATCCGGACTGCCGGGTTATCGAGTGCCGAGTTTTCGAGACTCTACTGTATTTTGTATATATCATTTTAAAAAAAATACAAAAGACAAAACACATTTTTATTTACAATTTATTACTTACTAATTATTTATAAATTTTAAGTAACAAATATAAATTCACAAAATGATTCAGAAACCTTTAAGATCAGTATGTCCCAACCTGGGGTTACTCGTAGTATCCTTGGGTGCAAGCTACTATTAAGCTAAGGAAAAAAATTATATAATGACTACCAAATGCAAATTATTAATTAAAAATCAATGATTTTGAATTAACCTTTTGATAATATTCTTAACTATCAATATTTTCAATTTACGGATATTTAGAGATATACAAAACTTTCTATTTTCATGAAAAAAAAAAAAAATAGGTAGAGTGGAAGAGGTTGGAAACTCCCACTTAGGCAGAGTCGATAGATATATGATCCTTGCGCTGCCAATAGCTCTAATGCTACGATAGTGGCGTAATAAATATTTCTGCCACTTCGAGCGCTTCAATCGCTTCACGGCATAAGTTTGGTTGAAACATAGGGAAAGTCAGCTGTAAACATTCGAAATTCTTTTAATATATGAAATTTTCTCGTTTTTAACTCATATTTCTTTTTTCCTTTTTAAGGGACTGATTATA